GGTGATCCTTCCGCTTCAGCCTTCCAAGTAGCTGGAACTACAGGCGCGCGCTACCACGTCCGGCTAATTTTTTTTTTTATTTGGTGTAGAGATGAGGTCTCGCCAAGTTGCACAGGCGGGTCTCAAACCTGCGGGCTCAGGCGATTCACTCACCTCGGCCTCCCAAAGCACAGGATTACAGGCTGAGTCACCGAGCCCGGCCTCCTTTTTTGTTTTTAACCTAATTAGCCCTGCCCATCCTTAAGATCTCAGCTCACATGTCCCTTCCTGGCCCCTTCCCTGGGACAAGGATGTCTATTTTACACTTATCACTGGCCTGCATCTCTCTCACACACTTTTTGTCATTTGATGCTATTTGTGTCAGTCTCCCCCCAAATATAGGAAACTTCTTGTCCAATTCAGAAAGCCTCTGAAAATGTCTGTTGAAAGGTTAAATGGAGTGAATAAGTGAATGAGTGAATAAATGAGTGGTCTAAATAAGCAAATAGAGTGAATGAATGAACTGAGTAAAAGAATGGATTGGGCCGGGCACAGTGGTTCACACCTGTAATCCCAGCACTTTGGGAGACGGAGGTGAGAGGATTGCCTGAGCCTAGAGGTTCAGGACCAGGTTGAGCAACATGGCGAGACCTCATCGCTACGATAAATCAAAAAATTAGTCAAGCATGGTGGCACATGCCTGTGGTTCCAGCTACTTGGAAAGCTGTGGCAGAAGGATCACCTGAGCTCCAACCTGGGCGACAAAGTGAGTCTCCAACTCAAAAAATAGTAAGTAAATAATGAATCCATGTTACTGCCCAAGTGGGCTGAAGCTAAAACCTGCAGTCTAGACCAGAAGTCAGCAGTCTTCCTAGAAAGAACCCCACGGTAAATAGTTCAGACTTCTGGGGCCCATGGTCTCCATTGCAGCTGTTCAATTCTGCCGCCATATTTCAAGAGCAGCCATGGACGAAAAGTAAACAAATGTGTATGGCCCATGTTCTAATAAAACTTTATTGAGAGAAACAGGTGGCAAGTGGATTTGGCCCATGAGCCAGAGTTTGCCAAGCCCTGGTCCAGATGAGGCCCTGGAACTCAAGGTTGTAAGTGTCTGTATTCCCCAAACAGCAGTCTGGAAATCAGGACAGACAGGAGGACTGGGGGGCTGGAAGGCTTAGGCTGCCTGCCCCTAAAAGTGTCTGTTTCCAAGGGATTGGTGCTTGTCCTAGGACAGGGCAAGAGAGACTGGCCCTCTCCTCAGGCTGCCGAAACGAACTGTCACCTGTTAGTCGTGAAGCAAA